CATGAGGGTTTCCCAGCTGAAATATTTGAGATCTGAGAGGTTGAATGCCTCCAGCCAAGGATGAGTCTCTTCAGATGCAGCCGGGGTATGAGCAGCTCAGTGCTGGCTCTGCCCAGCAGAAGGCAGCAAGGACACATGCTTTCTGCTCTGCCTATTAGCATTCCTTCCACACTGTACCTTGACCAAGCTTAAAGGAAGCCCTCTGGTTTGGGATGAGTCCATGTATTTCTTCAGGTCCTGATTCAGATACTCAAACACCAGATATAGCTTCTTCTGGCTGTGTATGACATCCAAGAGCCTGGAAAAGAAATGCAAGTGCTCCCTTTGGTACCTTTCAACACCTTCTCCAGATCCAAACATCCCTGCTCCCACAGATGTCTCTGCTCTGTGAGTCCTTTGGAGCAGAGAGAGGCAGATAAAAAACCAGAATCTAGCGTGGGATAGCAGCATCTTGGACGAGTCTGCGTTGCTGGGGTGAAGTAGCAGTACTGTGAGCTATTGCTTGAGAACCAGGGAAGTGCAAATGATTCCTGCATTTTCCTGTTTCTTTTGCTCTTGTCCTGCAGTCAGGGAAGGACAGGAAAACCCCTCTTGCTGCCTGTACCCAGAGCTCCTAGAGCAGGAGCTCATCAATGAGGATGGGGAGGGTTCATCCAGGTCTTACCTGACTATGTTGGGGTGCTTCAGCTCCTTCAGCAGTGAGATTTCTCGGATTGCAGTGCTGGGGACTCCCTCTGTGTCCCTGCGGCAGAGGCAGGCTGTGTAGCACCCCATCCTCCCCAGATCCCACAGCTTGTGTCCCTTCTCCCTCCCACTGTACCCCATCACCCTGTGTGGGGCAGTGCGTCTCACACTGAGCACCCTGAGTTTGGGATGGAGCCATGTGTGGGGCAGGCTGGAATGAGGCAGGGGGAAATGGAGCCATGGGGAAGGAGAAGGAAGGGTCTTAGTGCAAGCTCTGAGGCAGAGCTGGTTTTTGAGCACCTGAGGGCACATTTGGAGAAGCAACAGTGATTTAGATGCCTGAGCCTTGCTTTTTAGAGGGGAGGGGAAATGAAAGCTCTTTGTCCCCCAGGCAGTTGCCTTCACTGTCCTGAGGGACCACCATGGGCTCCAGTCCCACTGCTATGCCCTGTGGTCCACACTGACACTCCTCATTATGGAGGCAGCCCAGGGCTCACCCAGGGGAACAGTAACAAGCTTTTATCTGCTCAGTCCCAGCCTGGAGGGGTTAAAGTTGTCTCTGAGGAAAATGGAACTTTGCCAGGCCCCAGCACCATACCCCTGAGGACACCTCCCAAAAGCGTGGCTACTTCCCCCTGCCCTGTGCTATGAAGCCAGAGCAAAGCATGGCCTAGCTGCTTACATGAGCTGATAAGAGACATTTTTTTCCTGCATGAGCTGATAAGAGACAGGCTTTTTTGAGCCTCTTGCCCCATTTTGGATACCAGGCAGGGCTCAGGACCCTCCTGCTCACTCCCATGGCAGGCCTGGGGCTCAGCTGATGGCCCC